TTACCCACTGAAGCAACAAAACCAAATATTTAAAAAAAGAGTCAGAATTGCAACAGCAAGCCTTAATTAGTTTTCGGTGCCTTTAGCTAAGCTTTTCATTTCAGTGCGTGGAAAATGTTTTAATTAAGCCACCTTCTGCCTCAATTTGTCCAGATAGCTTCCTGCTTCCGCAACAAATGTCACAGATGCCAGAGCCCACAGCTTCCGTCAGTGCACAGCCGTGATTCACACTGAGGGCAGACCCACTCCCTGCACCCACTAAAGCTTGGGCTACACAAGCAAAAGGAAACTCTGTGGTATCATTATGGATAGAATTAAAATAAATACATGCAAAGAGACTGAATGCTTACAAGGCAACTTCAGTTCCGACACTTCTTTTTTGTCACTTGCAAACTTGGCAATCCCCTATGTCAAAAAAAATTTAATTAAAATTGAAAAGCGCTTCTTTTCCCACCCAGGACCACCACTATTGAAAATATTCTGTAGTACTGGGTGTGGAATCAAAGTGGAACCTCTCATTTTATTTGCTCAGGTTTTCCCAGGTGAATGTGCAAAAAACTACAACATTCTGAAGACATAAGACGGAAAATTTGGGCAGGCTTTCATGAAGGTGGTAAAAATGCAGATCTTTGACAACAGGACACCGCCTTAGCAGGATCTGGAGCCCAGATACAAGCCAGAATGACAACACTATGCTTCCAAAAGGTCTTGGGATTTTTAAGATTTTTTTTAACAAGGCAAAAAAATTAGCCTAATTCTCAATTAATCAGCTGTATTAAAACAAAAATTAGCCTGAGTCATAAAGACATGTGAATGCAGATCTTTGACAACAGGACACCGCCTTAGCAGGATCTGGAGCCCAGATACAAGCCAGAATGACAACACCATGCTTCCAAAAGGTCTTGGGATTTTATTATATTTTTTTTTTTAACAAGGCAAAAAAATTAGCCTAATTCTCAATTAATCAGCTGTATTAAAACAAAAATTAGCCTGAGTCATAAAGACATGTGATGAACTACAGCCCACATGGTTCAAACTCGACAAAGTTCTAAGCAACAGAAAAGAGGTTTGACAATGGTGAAGTCAATTCAGTTCTGTTGGCAGATGGTGCCACTCAACCCAACTACATCACATGTGTGATAACCACAGATAACCACAGACGCTACGGATTCACATGGGTTTTTATCACTATTTTTCTCTTCTGGACCAAACTGTTCCACAGATCACTGTGACTGTACCTTTCTGGGTTTTTTTTTTCTGTGCTAAAGATTTTCAAACGTGGCTCTATTAAAGGTCACAGAGAAAGACGCCATGTTACTTTGAAGAAAATCAACTTTCTTTGAAGAGCAACATGAAAGTCAGCATCTCGCACCGTTCAGTTCACATTAATTCTTTTCATCACACTCCTTCCACGTTTCAACTTAACAATAAACGTAATCTCTTACGTGCAGCATCTGCCTGCAGAAACCTCACCGTAAATGGCTCGATTGAGCTGCTTTATGAAGCTGCCCAAGCCTGACTGCCGACGTTCAAAACATGCTGAGTAATGGAAAAGATGCTCAAGCGGGTCAGCAACGGGCACAGCATTTTGCACATACGAACACTAAAGCCTGAGGAAAGCTTTTAATTTTTTGGATTATTTTCATATAGATTCTCTTAAGGCAATAAACATGAAGAAAATACTCTTTTCATATGTGTCATCATTAAAATGGTAAGCTTAACCACTTCACAACATCTTTGGGATGTGAAGTATCTGACTTAACCAACACATATCATAAAACCAGTTATCACAAACGAAGGCAGCCAACAGAAAAGTCCTAACCACCCTTACTTAGCTACATCACTCTGTCCCATGAATTAAGACAAGTTGAATATGACAGTATTTTCTTAAATGGCCTTGCTAGAGGCATGAAACTCGTATTTCTGTAATTTGGCATACAGCAGGCATATACAAAGGAGGAACTGAACTATGTTTAAAAATATATTGATGTACTTTATACATTTATAGTAGCATCTGAATCATCTCCCCTTAATGTGTTGCGGAACTGCAGCATAAGCCATTTACCCAGGATAATATGCAGCAAGATCTTTACATTTTCCTTCCCACTGAACTTAATTAACAAATCACTGTGATCCAGTCCATGTGACACACTGGCTCTTGAACAGTATTAATTAAAAATTATTTGTTACAAGTCAGTCTTGCTTCCTTGTGAGACTTCATCAATACAAATGTAAATGCTGAATATAAAGTACGAGTAAAAGCTGTACCCTTCTGACAAAATGTATTTTAGTTCTTACACAAAGAAATGGTGTGATACGCAACACAGAAAGTCAAAACAAGTGAGAGTCCCTCCAGGAAGTGATGGGAAACAACAAGGGTAAGGTCTACACAACATCTCGTCATTTCCCAAGGACACAGGAGTCTCCATGGAAACAAACACACGTTTTATCCATCACCAATTGATTTAAATAATAGATAAAAAACATAGAATTTGGCCCCTCCAGTAGAGATAAAAAACATAGAATTTGGCCCCTCCAGTCTAATGTCATTAGACTAGCACTAATGTCATTAAAGTTAACATTGCAACTTTGGGTTGTCTCTTACCACGTTATTCAAAACCAATCGATTCTATTCCAGAGAGCACTTCACAGAACTTTATTAAATCTTATTCAAATGCATGGGCTCAATGACAATATAGAGGTGTTCAGAGCATCTCAACGTTTACCTCATGCTGATGGAAGCCCTTATGCAACTACATTGTCCAGAATCTCCTGACCCTAGAGAAATTGACTGTATTTTTCTAACATGCCAGTAGTAGGCTTATCCATATTTCCTATAACTCTCTTCTTTGGGCCTTTGTGGAATAAAGACCATGCATTGATTTTGTGTGAGAAAAAAAAATAATAAATCCCTCCTAACAATCAGAGTCAGCGATTTACAGATATGAATAATTCAGAATATGAAAAAAAAAAATTATCTTTTTCTTCTCTTGGTTTGTAAGGAAAAGAAGACAAAACAGTCATTTCAGCTTACGCTGTCTATATACAAATTCTGTTTATGTTAGACTTCATTGTCAAACCACCACCAAATATATTCATATTCACAAACGCATCATCACATTTCAGTCAACACTTATTATGCCATGTATTTCTTATTTCAAAAGAGCTTACCTGACACATCTACAGTAGGAATATATTGAAATAACCCTAAGCTACATTACTCACACAGATGTATCAATTTACAGTGACTGAGACACCTGGCAAAACAGCATCAGAGCAGCTAAAGGCAAAGCAGAGGAAACCTCAAAAGTTGTTCTGGTTGCTTTAATCAGAAGTGTGAAACTAAAAAGGTTGCTTTTTAGTATCTGTAATAAAAATTAAATATTATCGCCAAAATAACAGGCCCTTTAAAAGCAAATATATTTCATCTAAATTTTCAGAAACCAAATGTTAAAAACAAAATAAAATCTACCTGCTGCATTACCAACTCACCACTGCTACTACCTGCGTAGCCTCACAGGACAACAGACCAAAATAAGACATATAAGGAACAAACTAAAGAAAAAAAAAATAAGAAAGAAAAAAGTCAATGTCTTAGCACAAAACACAGCAAGACATTCACACTTTACACCAACTGTGTTTGCTACCAGCATACTTTTAAAAATCCTATTATACAGCACATAAAGAAAAAAGCAATCATTGCTCACAAGTGTGAAGCAATTCCCTCTAAAACACAAGATCGCCCAAATGGATATTTGAAAAGGGTCCTTAAATATAGAACAAGATGCTCTGAGATACATTTTCCTATTGGAGAAAAAAGACCCAAATAACAACCACCAACAATCTCTTAGCTATGTGCCATATTTATTTAAACAAATAACAACCACCAACAATCTCTTAGCTACGTGCCATATTTACTAATAATGATTTCAGGGTAGTTCTTCTAATTACCATCAAACTGGGACATAAATAAATAAACAAATCACTTTCATCTGAAGTTTTGATACACTTCACAGTCTTAAATTCAAGCTCGTTGTTGAAATGAAATATTCAAAACCAAACACAGCCTCTAATCTGATAAATTGATTGCAGCCAAGGAAGTGTTGGATTTGTTAATTTGATGAATTCCTCACCTGGACTCAACTACATAAAGTTAGTTATATGCAGAACTGCTAATTACTGCCTATATTAAAGATTTTCAATGGCTTCATTGAAGAAACTCACAATAACGTTTATACTCGCTGATTAATGTTTTGATATAGTTAAAGGACTTAATTGTCTACCCAAGGTGCAATTAGGATTATTTTGGTGATGGGGATTTCTTGATTACTAAATACCAAATAAAAGTCAGCTCTGACTCCAATTTACCACCTTTAATCTGTTAAAATGTAGGAATTGATACAGGTTACTGCTGTTGGGTGGCTTAAATAGCTCAGATTCTAAGAAAGGAGCTTTTCTCACACAATTGCTATACACCCTTCAGGGTACGTACAGAAAATCTGTTTGGGAATATAATGAATGATACGATCTATATATTTATTATCGACTGAATATCTATTATTAGGCCTGTGGCTGTAAATTACTCTTCCCTTTCTCCCTGCCCCCATCCCCCACGCACCCAAGAGCGGATCACTTTCAGTGCCATTATTGTCAGGCATATTAAATTTTCAGGATGCACCGTTGTGGTTTCCAGGTCTCTATTTACCCCTTGAACTGTTGTTTTCAGCTGGGCATTTTTCCACTTAAAACGACAGAGCAGAGACACAACCACGTTTCGCCTACTACAACTACAAAGAAGCAGATTTGTAGCAGGCTCGTGTTAATACCAGCAAAATTAATTAAAATAATAAAAAAAAATAAATACCCTGACAGTCATTCATTCATGACATATTGAAATATGAGTTGCACGAATATTTTCTGTCTAAAATAGACATTGTTGAACCAAAGAGGTTGCGTAAAACAACGATTTCCTACGCAAAATAATATTAGCTCTACCTTACCTGCTCCAGATCCTAAAGAAAAGGTAAGAAAAGGATGTTCCGCTGCCTTTCGACCGTGAAAAGCAGCAGATTTCATAGCTCATTACGAGGCGATGGCAGTTCTATGAGCAATGGCTTACGGGAGCTTAAACAAAGCGACGCTGCTCTTGGAGAAGCATCGTGGGCAACAAAGTCATCTTTCCTGACAGCCCCTGCCTTTCAGCAGAGCCGAGAGCATCCCGGGCTCCCAGGGAAAACGCTAACAAAGGAAAAAGAGAAGGGATTGGAAAGGACCAGCCCAGCCATTGAACCGAGCGGCACCTTCCAAAAAACCTCCCGCACGCCTCCTTACACCCTTCACGGAACAAAGGCGACCGAATAGGGATAGGTGGCTACTCACATGTGGTGTTTTTTGGTGGTTTTTTTTTGGGCTGTCCTCCCCGCGCATCCACCGCCCGCCCGCGTTATACCGCCGCTGCTGGAGGGGGGGCGGACGTGAAGGAGCCAAAAAGCCACATCCAGCCCCCACCGCCTTGGGGTGGGCAACGCAAAGGGAGGCGGACACGCACCCCCGCACCGACAAGCCCCCGGCGAAGGGAGAAGGCTCCCGCATCCCCGGCGAAGCGCCCGGGATGCCCGAGAGCCGAGGGGAGGATGCCGGGCTGCGATGTTTGCGGGGAGAAGAGGGGGGGGGTGGAAGTGGGAGAAAAAAAAAAAGGGTCCTTCCTACCTGTTCTCCCTCTCGGTGCTGGCAGAAGGGAAGATCATTGAACCGAGCGGCACCTTCCAAAAAACCCTCCCGCACGCCTCCTTACACCCTTCACAGAACAAAGGCGACCGAATAGGGCTAGGTGGCTACTCACATGTGGTGGTTTTTGGTGTTTTGGTGGTTTTTTTTGGCTGTCCTCCCCGCGCATCCACCGCGTTATCACCGCCGCTGCTGGAGGGGGGGCGGACGTGAAGGAGCCAAAAAGCCACATCCAGCCCCCACCGCCTTGGGGTGGGCAACGCAAAGGGAGGCGGACACGCACCCCCGCACCGACAAGCCCCCGGCGAAGGGAGAAGGCTCCCGCATCCCCGGCGAAGCGCCCGGGATGCCCGAGAGCCGAGGGGAGGATGCCGGGCTGCGATGTTTGCGGGGAGAAGAGGGGGGGGGGGGAAGTGGGAGAAAAAAAAAAAGGGTCCTTCCTACCTGTTCTCCCTCTCGGTGCTGGCAGAAGGGAAGATCCCGGCGGCTCCCGCATCCCTCGGATGCCGCCCAGCCCGTGGGATGCCGCCCCCGCCCCGCGGAGGAGCGGCCGCCGCTCACGGGCGCCCCGCAGCGCCCCGGCTCCAGCCCCAGCCGCTCCCGATCCACTGCCTGCCCCCTACAACCATCGGGGGAAGGAGGGGAGGCTGGATTTAGGCGGATTCGGCGGGATCCCGCTGATCTTTGCACCGTTCAGCGCCCCCCACCCCGCCCGTTGAACCGAGATCTACACCCCCGAATTGGGCTGCGAACCCCAATTTGTTCTCTTCTCCCAGCAAAACCCAAAGTCTGAATCCAGCACCTGGCTACAGAGCTATGACCTTTATCATAGTATCATAGAATCATTGAGGTTGGAAGAGACCCTTGGGATCATCGAGTCCAACCATCTACCCTACTCTACAAAGTCCTCCCCTACACCATGTCTCTCAGCACTGCATCTAAACGGCCCTTAAACACAGCCAGGGATGGTGACTCCAC